TACCAAAATTAAGTAGAGAGAAACAAAGATCTGAGGGGCACTGCCACTGCGCCCGTCACCTTGAGACGTAAGTTGACAAGTCCCATGTGCCTGTAATTTCACCAGCACCCTTACACTTCAAAACCGGAACGCACTAATGCTCAACTTAGTACTAGGGGGTAAAATTGTGACGGTGTGACCTCCTTACATCGTCATCCCACCTTTTTATCGACTTTCTCCGGTTCCTGGTCACTCTTAAGTTTAAATTTTGAATTGTTCCATTCTTTTACCTTTTACCTCACATCCTGATTTTGTTCCGTTCCATCGTCACTCCCTGCTCGATCGCGACAGCGGACGGAGCTGTTTAAATTTAATCACGTCTAATTTTTATTCTTTTACTAAGTTATAATCATTATAATATAATTTAAATCATGTGTCAATTCTAATAAATGTATAACAGTCTACAGCCTTATCATATACCTATGAATACGTATCTGTAATTTAGTATATCTCGGCCCTTTTGGGGTAAGTGTACTTAATGTCTTTAAATTCATCATTAAGTTAGGAAGTGTTTTATATAAATGTAACTGTTTTTCTATATGTATCTTTTTATTGTTACAGCCTTAGAATAATAACGCATAGAATGATAGTTTCATATCAAACGAACGATCACAAGTGAGGCAAAAATCAAATTCATGTAGGCTTGTTTTAGTAGTAGGTTAATTTTCGGTTTTAGTGAATATTTATATAAAAATACAAGTTGAAACGCGTTACTTCCTTGTGGAATGTGATGTTAGTATCTATGTTATGTTTTTCTGACGTATTTTTACACTCATTTACCGCACATTTCGTCATTTTTAGCTAAAATTCTTGATCTGTTCGCGGTACAAGTTGACCTTGAGCACTGAAGGCCCGCCCGCTCGTGTAGGCCCTTTTGGCGCGCTTCAATTTGCCTCACTTAGCGTGTGCGGACTAGGTTTCTATGCGTTATTATTCTAAGCTTACGGCCTTAATCCTTACCCTTACTCTTTACTCCTTACTTCTTTGTTACCATTTCTTCTTAACCCGACTTTTAATAGATTTGTGGACCGGTAGTTTTCTGTTTTACTGCCGTGAACCTGGTCACAGCTTGTTAGGGTTATAATCCTTTCAAAATAGGTAAGGCAGTACTTTCCTAAATAACACAAGGAGCTCTATAGCTACTAAAACGTGGATTAAACACCCATCTAAAAGATCTATTACAAAAAACTGAATAACTGAAGAACATAATTTTTTTTTCGGTTATAAGAAATGTTTCTGAAGACAATATTAGACAATGGATTATTGAATCTTGGTGGACGAATACTATTAAGATCGTATCAAAAGCCATTTAGTTTTATGGCTATAGAAGTGGACTTCGATTTTATTGAAAGCAATAACTGGAATGTGTGGTGAATGGCTAGTAATGCTCTTCTTGATAGCCGCTACATGCGTCGAGGCTGTTTTCGATGTTACTTAGTACCTATAATCACATATTTGTATGTCAAAGAGTCACTAGATGATTTTTTATTATCAAAAGGTATTTAAGGTACATTACGCTAAAAATAGATATCGAAACCCATATTATTATGCAAGAATCCCCGTCGTCATCATCATTTCCTCGAATGCTCCTCACTTTGAATGTACCATGCTTCGATTATTCAGTTACAGGAGTAAAAGGCATAATAATAATAATAACGCACATACTCAACTTAGCCACGAACTAGGGAAACCTTGTGCTGCGGGTGCCATGGCCACATACATAGACAACCACAAATCACACCCAAACTCACGAGAGAAATAAATGTAGGCCATACAAATGTTTCTCCCGACCCGGATAAATAAAATACAACTAAATAAAAATTTATTTCACATAAAATAAACATATTCAGTTTCCATTGACAGTACAAAACAAAATTGAATAATTTTGATCGAAGAAATGACATCAAACATTGGACAGTAAAAGTTAACTACACAAGTCTTAAAATTATTTAAAAAAACAAAATCCCGACTGTAAAAATATTTTGCTGAAAAAAAAAAAAATGTTCCCCCTCACTATTCTGATTATTTTTTATTACCTATGACACTCCCACGATCAAGACGAATCTAACGACACCTCATTATGTCAAAATCCATCAAGCCGTTTAGGCTGTACAGTGCGAAAAAGAATTGGACATACATACACACACTTGAAAAACATAACCCTCCCGCAGTCGGGTAAAAAAAAGAGCATCGAGGCCGGTCGCCACAAGTCCTTTCACATTTTTTCGATATATAAATTTGATAAATTTCTTTAAATTATAACATTATGCCTATGATAACTGCCTCTCTGTGGCCGAACGGTTACCATGCCGAATGATGCCACGCAGAGGTCCCAGATTCGATTCCCGGACCGGGAGAAATATTTGTATAGCCTACATTTATTTCTCTCGTGAGTTTGGGTGTAATGTGTGGTTGTCTATGGGTGTGTCCATGGTACTCGCGACACAGGGTTTCCTAGTGCGGGGCTATGTTGAATGTGTGCGTTATTATTATTTATCTATTTCATAATCTCCTTTCCCCGAACGCATCACTTCGATTACACGCATCGATTGTGCAAGTACATAGACAAATATTTTTTTGAATTCGCAAATTTCGTAAGTACTATGGTATGAACTAATTAGTATCAGGCTTCTGTTAATAACATAACCTCTATTAAGTATATATTACTTACATCTACACATAATTTAGTATTATATAGTAGCTGGCCACTTCAAAATATGTAACAAATAAAATAATCAACAAAAATATGGAACAAACTAAACATCAAACAACAATAATATAAGTTAAAAAACCAAAACAAAGATTTTTTTATAATGTCAAGTGACAGGACGAACAAGTCGTGCGCCTGATGGTAAGCTACACGCCTCTCCAAAACAGTTGCAATGCCACTCAGTGCTTTAAATCGCAAAGATCAGAGACACATAAAGTCCCATGTGCCAGTGATTTCAGCAGCACCCTTACCAATCCAAAACCGTAACAAAGTAATGCTGACATTACTGCTTGGCGACAGAAATATGTAAAGTGCCAGGACTTTCCTGGGCGAACTCTTGTACAAGGAGCTCTACTGCTACTAAATATACAACAAGCACGTAGAAAAATTCGTATCCGCTGGTTCGCTCCGTGGCTTAGTTGGCATAGCGTCTGGCACGGTTTGTTAGGAGACGTTGGTTCGAATCGGTATTTTTTCTAAGTGTTCCATCTTTATATTAATAATTATAACAAACTAGTGGTATTACTAGTAATTTCAAAAAAAAATATTGAATCTCATGATTGTGAAACATCCTGGCATTCAGTAAACTTAATAACAATGACATAAATATTGTTATAAAATAAACCAAAGTCTATATGCTAAAACAGAGAGATCATATTTCTTTGTCATTGAAAAGTCCTTTAATAGCATATTTATACGAAGCAGAACCTTAATTTATTATACTAAGTTCTAATTTACTGCAAATTTGATGTAAACTGAAAACATTGTACATTTCACGCTACAAGAACTTTTCGCTGTATTACAATTTGATCGATATGTCGGCGACGCTGTCCCGTATAATCATAACGGATTACTAGACGAGTTAGAAGGAAACCGTATAATCGACTGTAGCACCGGAGCCTTAAATAACAATATAATGTAACAGACAATAGAACCAACCGAATACAAAATCCTTCAAACCCTATTTATGACAAATTTTACTGTCATACGCACAATATAGTATTTTGAGGGATCTTTGACCATGTGGAATACTAATTTACGCATTATGAATTAAAGCCACTAAGCAGCACTGCCCCCGTAGTATGCCGCCTCGATAATTTATTTATTTAACATTTGTAACTTAACAGACAAAAGTGCAAATTGCTACAAACACAGAAACAACGAAAAATGAAAATAAAAAATCAAATAAAATAAACATAATACATTTCACAGAACTGAACTTACAGGCATCATTTGTTCAAATACTTTCCTACTCATCATTCAATAAATCAATCAAATAAATCAGTATGTGGTGTCGCCACGAGAACGAGTAAACATTTTAAAATTGTATCACAATAGCGAGCATGGCGAGCACTGTGATGTCACATTCTTATGTCATCGCGAGCACCGGCGACCAATGACTGCATAAGATTAACACAGTGCCAAACATTTACACACTAATTTTATCAACGTAAAAATTGAGCGCGACAAACGAGATGAAAAGATATTTTTATTTCATAGTTTTCGCGGCGATAATTAAACGAGAAAGATAGCTATACACATTACAATAGTTCATTACCAAATAAACAAATTTAGATTTATCAACTGAATTAAATATTGTCACGGAGAGGTTTATTACACATATTCTGCCATGCTACGGCCACTGGAGACAATGGCATCAATTAATTGTGACAATACTTTAGCAGTAGCATTGCATGCATTTGTAATTATAAGGTTTTCCATTACAGAGGGTAGATTTTGACAGTTCATAGCGGCCATGTTGTTGAGGCTGTTAAATCAGTGTTTATTTTTACACTAATAGATTTTAATCGCAAAGATCTGAGGGGCACTGCCACTGCCACTGTGCCCATCACCCTGACACATACAGTTGACAAGTCCCATGTGCCTGTAATTTTACATTAGTGCTTGGCGGCTGAAATAGGTAAAGCAGTACTTCACTGGAGGTTCTCTGAGGTTCTCTTTCACAAGGAGCTGTACTGCTACTAAATTTCTCCGAATTATGAACGAAATTTAAATTGAAATTCACCATGAGCTTTTTGGTAAAGCAGAACATCGTGACGAAACCTGTCGAAGAAGGTTCACAATCCTCGGAAAACGTGTGAATTCCCCAACCCACTGAGAGGAGACCCGTGCCCGGCAGTAAGATGTATCAATGGGTTGTCAATGATATTCAGTTATACTAACGCCATCTTTAACCATGCCCCTACACGTTTTAATACGCAGAAGAAAAAAAAAAACAAATTAAACTCACCGACGGCGCTGTGAGCAACTGCAACGCTTCGCTCAAATGTTTCAAAGTCAAAGTTTTCCCCTCCTCCTCTTCTTCAGGTCCTGGTAGGTGTATAGAGGACTGTCTTGATCGAAACCCAGGTTTTTTCCCCGCGGCGCCATTCGCGAACTGGTGTTGCGACGACGCGCGCCGAAAAGGACACGTCATTTCGATCAAGATCTAGTCATTTGATTGTGAATTTGGATGCACTGCACTGTTGGCCGGTTATCTGAAAATAAAGAAAATATTATATTCAACGATTGGAACACATTTCTTACATAATAATAAGAAACGGGACGAACAAGTCGTGTCTGGTGGTAAGCGACACGGCTGTCCGTGTCACTACACTCGACGCTTTAATTCACAGAGTTCTGGGACTTCCACTGCGCCCATCACCCTGTGACATAAGTTAACAAGTCCCATAATGCCTGTAATTTCCTAATAATAACCAATATCCTTCAAAAATGGAACGCAGTAACACCCATATTGCTGACGGCAAAGACAAGTAAGGTGGCAAAACCAAAACGAACCAACAGACTTTTTTTATAAATAATAGACATACCCTTGGCCACAATCTCACCTGTCTCACAAACAACGATGTAACCGACGATGGTACGCGTTTGTCTAATAAATGCCTGTTCATTTTTTAGACAAACGCCTTATTTTGCTACAAGAGATCTATTCGCGGTGTTCACGAACAATGAGAACGAGTTGTTTTGATTTTGTGATTAATGTATGTTGTAGAAAATTGAATTATGTACCATAAAAATCTCCACAGTGGATAAACAACTGTTCTCAAAATAAATTGAAAACTAAAATACGATATAAAGTTTAAAAAACAAATTTATCCCACATACTGTGCGTAAGTATCTAATTTAGAATTATTTATTAGCAGTAGAGCTTCTTGTTCTAGAGTTCGTCCAAAGAAGTACTGCCACCTTACTTATTTCCGCAATCAAGCAGTACAATGAGCATTACTGCGTTCTGGTTTTGAAGGGTATTGGTTGCTGATGTTTTGCAATTAAAGTTATGAGCGCCACTGCAACTATTATTGGTATACATATATCGCTTACCACCAGATTCAAGACTTTTCCGTCCTGTCACTTATTGTCATAATAAAATATGCACAAAAAAAAACACTTTTACGCAAAGGCTTTAAATACAATGTTATATAAACCCAAAAAACTTAAATTGCCAAATTGGTCTACATTAATCAGTTTATACAGGACGTTAGTTAATTTATTTGCGTTATACCTGAAAGGGTTAATCCTTAATGGGTGTTATCGACCTCTAATTCGAACAACTAAATAACCACTTAACTAATACGTGAAACTGTTGCTGCTGCAAAATATATGAAGAGATGATTTTTATTTTGTAATTTCTAGGGGACACCGCGGTAAAAGTTGTATTTATGTTTGGTAATGTGGACGATTGTATTAGGTAACTGCAGATATCGAACGTAAATACTTGTAATTAGTAACACAAAATACAGAAATATTTTATGTTATGCAATGGAGAGGACAATGCTAGGAGTTTCACTGCGAAGTCGAATCAGAAATGAAGATATCGCGAAAGAGCGAGAGTAACCGACATAGTCTGAAGAAATACAAGGCCTAAGTAGCAGTGAGAGGGGCACATTGCTCACAGAACTTTTTTTATAATATCTAGTGACGGGACGAACAAGTTGTGCACCTGATGGTAAGGTACACGCCATGTCCACGACTGTTGCAGTGCCACTGCAGTCGTCACCCTGAGATATAAGTTGTAAGTCCAATGTGCTACTGCTACTAGCTAACGCGATGCGCTCCTCCTATCGCAAAATGGCGTCTATTTGCTTTCGCAAATTAGAAAAGCATTCAGTTTAAATACAAGTTTTTATAAATAAAAATTATTATTCTGCATTGCTAAATAAATACCCTCCGTACTACAACAAAAACATCTCAAATAAAATGCAGTAATACACCGCAAATCCTGCATTTAAAAACCACTAATGAAATTTTTGGTGTACTTGGGTAAATATGATAATATTCCGTTTGAGTGGTTCTAACGTTTATCATGAAATTACTCCTTAAAGTATAGTTTATAAACATTTATATTCAGGGTAAACTTAAAAAACGCAACTTACGGTATGTTTTCAATAAATAAACACCGAAATCACCAACTCAAACAATAACACACGCGATTGTCGTGACGTATTTTTGAAGTTGCTTATTTTTTTAAATGACAGACCCAGGCATTAAAAACTTTATGGTTTACTAGAGTAGTTACCGAAATAGCAATTAATATTAGTTCTTTTACCTGTTATAACTTCGATATCCGATAAATCGGTATAAAATCATCACCGGCACCTCTAGGTGTGGTATGCGTCTACGGCTGCATGTATCGCGTGAGTGGCTAGAAAAGCATCTATAAAAATATTGCTGATGACCCGAATTGACTGCCGGCAAGTGCATTTAAAAGTGGCAAGAAAACGGCTATCTCACGCAAAAAAAAATATCGTGTCTACCAATCAGTCCCTCAATTAATATTTTCTCTTTGCACTCAGCCGACAAAGTGTGGTTAAAACAAGGCCCCATTTCCATTTTCCAAAGTAAACAATTTGGGTTTCTAATACGATAAAAGCTCACCGTACCTAGGTAAATGTTTGGGCGAGTGTACAAATAACTCAGTAAAATTTTCGATTTCCAGTTATAGATTGACCGAAGCCAGATAAAATGTTATTGTAATAGTAATTTATTACAATGTATAATATTAATAGACCGTTGTGTAATGATTCTTTATCATGAGTCGCTGTATTGCGTGTTCCTATATACAAAGTCATATACAGAATGCTTTTCGCGTTGAGGTCTTCAAAAACAAAAGCAATTGGAATCACAATGAATTTTAATAATCATAATGCTATTTACGATAAGTGAGTCAATGATCACAAGACCATCATCTTTATGTATACGCAATGATACGTATATAAGATCATTGTACACGATAAGATCATTTAAGTGAGTACAAAAGAAATGATTATAACATTAACTGCCTAGTGGCCGAACGGTTACCATGCTGGACTGACACGCAGAGACATTTACTTTTATCGTCAGTTTAGGGTGTAATTTGTGGTTGTGTACCTATCTATGTGTGTGTCCATGGCAGCCGCAATATAGGACTTCCCTAGTGCGGGGCTATGAATGTGTGCGTTATTTATTTGTTTTTATTAAAAAAAACCACCCCAAAGTTTGTGTGATTTATTGTGCCATGTTTTATTGAAATCGGTTAACAGAAAAAGGGTAAAATCCAATAAACCGGATTCATCCCCAATTTTCCACCCTTACAGGTGGAACGATTTCTTCAAAAATTGAATATGACCCTCTTTCCAACAAAAAATAATCATCGAATTCGGTTCATAACTATCGGAGTAATCGCATAACATACTGTCGAATAGAGAACCTCCTCCTTTTTTTGAAGTCGGTCAAAAATTAATTAAAAAATATAATACAAACCAAGACAGATAATATGAGTTCATTTGGAACCTTCGAATCTAGGAACACGATTTAAAATTAAACGCATTTAATTACCATAAAATAGTAAACATAAATTGACAAACAAATGTGAAAACGGCATTTATATTCTATGAATCAATCACAGGCCTTTTAAACATCTGCCGCAGATGATGTAGGCAACATTAAATTTATAATATAATAATAATCCTTTTTATTTCTCCACAAAATACAACAACAAATAGAAGTTCATAAACAATCTTAGTAATTTTAGAACAGTATTTTGTAGGAGCTGGTGCTTGCTATAGGCTTAACACCTGTGCTACAAGTCACCAGGCCCCAACCCTTGCAAATGAAACATATGTTACTAAGTATACATATACCAACCGCAAATTATATGTATGAGAGAAAAAAAAGATGATAGACATTAGAATATTCATATAAAAAAAATAATGATATTCAATGAAGAAATGAATTAATATTCAATGATTATCACGGTGCCCACGCTAGACATGCCTGTATATATTGTGGAAGGGCAAATATCCGACCATCATCAAATATTTAGCCTCTAAATTGAACAGAATCGATTTAAAGACTTTAAACAATAAACTTCAGATATGTTGGATCGATACATTATTATAATAATATATTCATATACATGTATAAAACTAACAACAATCGTTTGTATAACAAAAAATAAGAATATTTATTTTATAATGCAACAAGTGAAATGCTGTTACAACATGCAAACAACTAAACTCTCGACAAAATCGTAAGTTAAGCCAAGGAACCGGTTGTGCAGTATACGTTTAACTCGGAATGCTGAGCACAATATTATGTCACATGATTTAGTTGTGTTGTGTTGTGTAAATAGTTATAGGCATTCAGAAATCAGAAAGAAACAAAGCATCTCCCGATCGCTGAATTCAATAATGAATATCCGCCATTCTAATTCCAAATTCTCAATCAGCACGTTCATTGGATGTCGCTGAAGCAAAAAAATTAATATAATTTAATATAATTATAATTATCTATAATTTAATGACGGTAAGTGAGGGAACAAACAAGTCTTGCATTTAGTGGTAAACAACATGCCTACACATAACAGTAATTGCAGTGCTATTCAGCGACTTCAAATCGTAAAGATCAGAGGGGCCCTGCCACTGCAGCTGTCACCCTGAAACATAAGTTGCCAAGTCCCATGTGTCTGTATTTCACCCTTACCCTTCGAAACCGAAACGCAGTAAGCGTCACTTACATGGCGCAAAGCTTGTGACGATGCGACCTCTTTCATAGTCATCTCACCTTTTTATCACTCTTTTCTCTAGTTCCTGGCCACTTACTTTGAAATTTTGAATCGTTCTCTAATTCTTTTTTTTTCGTAATTCTTACTTTGATTGAGTTCCATTGCCACTCCCATCAAAATTCTCGTGGAGAAAAGACCTCCAATCATGTAAACCTAAACTGCTTATAAAGTAGCAATGTATTACATACGAATACAGGCCCTTTTGGGGTAAATTCACTTACGTTTGTGTAATCTGTAGGGAGAGTTTTTATATTACTGTACCTGTTTGTATACCATATTTTTTTCATGTCTTCTCGCCTTTTCCCTACTGTTACCTTTACACTACACCATCTTTATTACCTTTTACAATAAATTATGTGGACCGAGCGTTACTT